TCGTGAGACTTTGACTTTATCTCCCGATAACTGAAAAATATATTAATTAATTTTAGAAGTTGAATGCAAAGCGCAACTAGCAGAATGCTAAAGTGCAGTTTATATTATTGAAAATTAATTTAAGCTTCTAACTTTAGAGAAAAGCATTGTTAAAATAAGAGAAAATACTTAATTTTTTTCGACTTTGACTATAGAAGAATACGATATTTATTTCTCAAATTTTGCTTCTCATATTTCTTTTTTGTTTCTGCCATTTGTAATTAATTAATTAATTCAAATTTTAACGGCGTAGATGTTCATCGATTTAACATTCAAGCGATGCGCACGAGTTGAACGTTCTACCTCTCCGATCTTTGCCTTTTTAATTCTCTGCTGAATTTTATCTCAGTTGTTATGGCGCCGTCGTTTGAATTAGTTAAAGAGCCTATCGGAAAAGTGGCGAAAGACCGGAACGAACCAACTTGGGTAAAACACTCCTTTGGGTGTATAAAGCTGTATTAGGCACCGTACCTTATTTCGTCGTGCAACTTCCTAGTGCCGCTTGGAGACTCGCGATCCTTCGGGAATTTACATGCGGTCGAGAACCATTGGACGGGACAAAGTGAATAATCAATGTGCACAAAATTATGTTAAGCAGGCTATGACTTGCATTATCCGCCGTAAGTCAGCGTTCTGTAATGGAAAATGAGATGAGTAGAGACGTGTAGTTGAGAAGATGCGTGTGAGAAATGTGGAAATATTACTACCATATAAATACGTCATATGTCATACGCTTGGATTTTGAACAATGAAGTTAATCCAACCAAAAGTATTCTACAGTTGGACGATAGCAAGATAATATTCACTATGAAATAATACCGTTGGATTACAAAGGCATGTAATCTGGCTTTTAACTCTTATTCTGTCTCAGCTTTCATTTATTTAATTGGATAACCGTAACAATAAGAGACTATTTCTAAATGAAAAAAAAAAATTAATTACGCGAATCCTTTTGCTAATGAAATATTATATTCATTGTGAAGCTCATAATAATTATTTCTATTTATATTCATGTCGCATACATTTATAATGTTGCAACTGATGCATATAAATTCTTGCGCAATCCCCATATATAATATTAGCAATTAAAATCTCCGTCATGATTTGTATGTGTTTAGACTTCTTTTACATAATAATCAGATTGTGTTATACAGAAAAATAGTGATAGTAATGATTACATTAAGATAAATTTAATTTGACAGACATGATTTCACGAAGGTAAATAAACGATGACATTTTGCAAGCAGCAGCACAACGAATAAAATCTAACACGAAGAGAGCAACAATAATTTAGTGAAGTGCCTCGATTTTTCAACCAAGCTCATTATTCTTGCTCGCAACTTCCTTCTTTTTTTCAGTGCTCCTGGTATTCCGATTGCTTGATAAATAGCTGCTGGCAGTTTGACCTTTCAAAGACGAATCTAGGAGAAAAGACAAATCGATTTCATTCCCGAGTGACCTGAAATCGTCTGTAACAAATATTACATTGCTCGATAACCGATCTCTATATCAATGTTTTTGCGATCCTCTGTGTTTATAGGAAATGAGAAGGTATGTGTTATATTAACTGTCTCGGATCGTACTGTCAATAAACGGCGTTCGTGTTGTTCAAACAGCGGAATGATAAGACTGTGTTGTAAAAAATTTGCAGACGTTTATTCTCACGGCAATAATACTTGTTTTATTCGCTCTGCATACGACACACACCTCCCGTGACCGCGTTACATAAACGCGTGTATAAAGCGCGTGTTACGTTTCACGGAGCTTACATGGCGGAACGTAAAGTAAATACCGTAAACTTGAATAGTGTATTGCGTGTAAGCGCAAGCCACGTTGGGTAACTGGTATGTATCTATCTACATTGCTATCATGATGAAAGGCTGAAGCTCCGAAAAGCTGTCTCCTGATTGCGCGTAATCGTGCCCGGCGCCAAGATTGGTCCATTAATCTTACCACGGACGCACGCGATATCACACAACGTCATGAGGAGACCACGTCCTAAATAAATGCGGCCGCTTGAAACACACCCCGGCACCATGGCGCAGAAAATGCAGTTGCGCAATTACGTAGTGGTGGCTGTACCAACGAGTGAGAAAATGGAAAAAGAGCGACGTGGCACAATGGCTCGTATCCGAATTACACAATGAAACCTTTCTTAGCAACACAATGTTAGCAAAGCTTGAATAAAACAGCAATCGTGATCAATAGAATTTAATTACTTAACTTTGTGACAAAAAGAATTGGAAAATGTGGGAGAATAGCAGAAATACCGCGAAAATATCATACAATATAAACTATATAAATGCGAAGATATTGTTGCTGTGATTTTTATCATCTTGTTGAGTTATCTAGTCAGAATAGTTCTTTATCTATGCATAATATCTTATAAACGTATTCGCAATGTGTACGTATCTATATATATTGCACATATAATAAAAAAATATAAAAGCAAATGAAGTTTTAATAAAGGATATATAAGTATGAATTAGATGCAAACACATTTTCATTTGGTTTGTGACTTTAATGAATGTTTTCTCATGTTATACATTTATTTCAAATTGCTTATTATAGAAAGTATTTCGTAGAAATCACCATAAATTTTTTATATGAAATTAAATTTAAATGAAAATGAACCATTTTGATGGAGTTACGTTTGCTATTAATTTATCGCTTATTCAGAGAAATTGCTCCCAGTACACGCAATTATCTGAAATTTTCACTTGCGTACAAGACACAAAACATGCGTATATATTGGCTTTTACAAATTCACATTTCCCTCGTGTAATCTACTACTCTCGTGCTCATAATGCAAGTAATTTTACCCTCTGTCATCTGCGAATGTAATTATCCTCAAGTTGCTCCGTGGCTCGCATTTATGAGACGCACGAAGTTATATAACTATTGGGGAAGCGCCGTCACTGAACATCGTTAAACTCGCGACAAACGGTTGTCATAATCTCCAAGTTTAGATAGTTTCGTCACCTCGAATTCGCTGGAAAATATCACAACGCTATCACACATTGCCATGCATAAAAGTCGTGACGATTTATAAGCATTGATTTGCATCGTAAATATACACAATATAACAGCTTTACATTTTATCCATTTAGTAGTACTGTCAGTACAGTAGGTAGTCATTAAACAATTTTATCTCTTAGATATAGAGTATAGTATTGTATAATCTTTTTCTATTTATGAAGATATAAATCTAGATATCTCAAAGAAAAAGATGTAAAACAAAAAATATTTCTGTATTTTTTCCTAGATGAAGCATTTTTAAGAAAAAAATTTTTTATTTGATAGAGAAAGCTGAGTCTTTTACTCTTTTAGAAGAAATTAATAATATTCCTGATGTAATATATTTATAAATCAACAATGATATATAATAATAAACATTTAGATTAAGAAAATCAAATGCATTTGTTATAAGCTCGAAGCTTTGCTTTAACTTAACCATAGATTAGCATTGCAAAGGCATTTGTATGTTTATTTTTATTAAGGATAGATTTTTTTAATGGGTGTGGGAGGTGAAAGAGAGAGAGCTCGAGTTATCTTTCAACCGTATTAAAAAGTGCCCCAAGGTATTTTAAACAACGCACTGTAATTTTATATTGGTCAAAACTTGGCTTGATTGCCGCTACCATAATTCGATATTTTATCTTTACACTGCATAATAGACGATTATAGACGATAGCACGCGCGAGATCAGGTATACATAAAAATACCGTAAAAATTTTGCGGCTACATTATGGATTTTTTCATGGCTTGTCTTTTATCACTGGAACAATATTTCTGTTAATTAATATTAGTAATATAATATTTAAAATTATATCATAAAATTTGTTACTTTACTATACATTTAAATGTGTAGTTTCTTTTTAGATAATAATATATTAACACACATCTTTTTCCCTTTCTCTCTCTCTCTTTCTCTCTTGTATTTAATGTAATAAGGAGATAAATGTCTCATATAAGTCGTGCTTTCAAAGTGACGCGCGTCACTTGTGAACGGCATAAACGATATTCTTGGCGGTGCATACCCATGTTCATCCTATGTCACTTGTCATTTTGATGCGCCATCTCGCATGTAAATCTATGGCATTGTTTCACAAAGTGACATATTCGTGGACGAAATATCACTAATAAGTGCCGTTTTATCTTGCCAGCGTGGCAGTCTACTATAGAATAATTATTACGAATTGTTTTAGCTTAACTATCAATTTTTTTAACTTATCTATACAAAAAGCTGATAAATGTTAGATCTTATTTTTAAGTTTTAAAATTAAAATGAATCTAATCCTTGAATTGCATACTTATATCTATTTTTAAAGGTACGTTTGTATAACGAAATAATTGATTTTTACATTTTATGATATTTTGCTTATATGAAATTTTATAGAATATATAGAAAAAAGAGATTCAATTATTTTTCAATTTCGCAAACAAATATTCTAGAATCGACACGGACTGACGTAGTACGCTGTCAATGTAGAACAAGTACCTCTATTCCGGAATATCCGTCTATTAACCAAGTTCATGAGTAATATAAAAGTACTCGAAACCCTACGGGTTTCGATTTAATTGATTTCGATTAAACTGATTCACAGATATTTTTTTTTTATTTAATCGGATTTTCGATATGTTTTTTTTTACGTTGGTACGCTCTACGGTTTCTGATGTTATTTCACGTTGATATATCATTGTCACAATAACCTCGTACAAACAAGCGAAATGCATGCATGAATTAATTAACTTCGAGTAATACCTAAAATAACCGCGAATATTTTCTATATACTATGATATTCGGATATTGACATCGATACAAAAATCTATAATGGATTCGAATACTAGTTGGTAAATAAAGTATATAAAAATTTCTTACAAATCGCTTGAATTTACGCATTTAATAATCGACAGATGTTTGATATCTAATATTCGCTGCGTTCTCTTTCATGTTGCAGGGCGACAAACGAGGAATTTATTAACGGGAACATTGGGTCACCATCACGGTATGTAGGATGCATCATTATCGGACAGTTACAATAACAATGAATGACCATAGGTTGATGAGCGCAATCCAGCCGGAAATCACTAGCGAAAACGGCTAGATCTCGCGGGATGTTGCGAGAACGCACTCGATGTTGAAAATCATACTCGCGTGGCTCTGCACATTGCGAGTGTCAACCGGGACCGGGCATTATCGTCCTTGTTGTTTGCGTTAAAGGCCAAAATAAACTACGAAGCACCGGGCGCTTTCGCTGTTTACGTTAACGACATTGCATGTGTACGTGCGCGCGCGCATGTATATCGTACGTGGGTGGTTGGATACTTCATGAAATGGTTTGTTTCGCACCCCCCCCTCGCCCTGCCACCGCAATTTGATCCTTATCCATTACATCGATACCTCGAGCTCTTTTCGATGTTACATGGGATAAAAAACGCTGTGGGCTTATCGAACACAGATTGTTTTTTATATCTATAATCTTTATTGAAAATAAGTCCCCTTCTCTACTCGTACTGTGCCGTCGCCTAGCAATGGATTTTCACTCTTCGCGATTATTTTTTCGTGTTGTGTATCGATGATATATGAGAAACGGTAAGCTGACAACATAAGCTGTTTTTATCGAATCACACGATCGCATAATGCAAATAACAAAGGTATTATTTGCTGGATAGCGTACATCAAACAATGGTGAAGAAAAAACAAGCAATGCAGTCGTTTCAATTTTATGAGCAGTTTCGTGATTGCCGTAGAGTACGGCAAGAATAAAAAAATCGTTTAATGCAAGGCAATTGTCTAGTTGGAGATATTATGTATTTTCAGAGTATAATTTTCTTACATATATCAAATTAGAAAAGAATTTGACTGTTGCTTGTATTATGATTTAATTTATATGCAATTTAACAAAGCAATGTAATGTATTAATATTATTTATTATATTATAATTTTATTTCATTTATTTTTATGCTGCATTTTCTTTTAGATGTAATCAATCATCGTTCCCAATCATTTGTAAGCCAAATATTGATAAAGATAATAGTAAAACATACATAAAATAATTGATACGAATATTTTATATTTGTGGAAATATGATTCGTAAATAATGAAAGTGCAGAATGTAGTTATAATAGTCATATTTTTTATTATTTATTAAAAAAGTAAAAGAGTACATGATATTGGATTATTGTATTTTTATTCTAAATATGCAATAATCCAATATCAAATTTTGGGAAACAACAACATCTGCATATGAAGAGTATCAAATACTTAAAACTCTATTCGTCGCTTTCAATATGATTTTTTAATATGCTGCAACGTGTCACATATTTTCGTGTATTTTATACCAATGCCTTATATTCAGTACGTTGTGGGAACAGCGTCAAGCTCGAATTTTCAACGTAGTTCCATGGATTAACAGCCACAAAATCCGGCAGGATTTTGCGAAAAAAATTAAACGTTTCGCATTGATTCGGCATAGCTTGATAACCATTTACATATGTCTTATCGGTCGATATCAAACGAGCACGCCCGGTTAGAAGCAATTCGAGCACACAGTCGTCGAATCCTGACATCAGATAAAAATATATCAGTCGCGTCACAAAAGCCGGATGAAATTTCCGCCGCATTTGCCCACTCATCTACCCTCTAGCCCACCCATATCGTCCGCTATCACTATCTACGGTTCTCTCTGATTCTCCACAGCCTCGTCAGGATTTTCAGGTCAATCTTTTTGTTCGCAAAAATCCGCGACAAAAATCTCCGTGCGGAGAGAGGAAATTTCGGTATGCAATGGCTCTCTAAGTGGTCCTTCCTCCCCGCCTCGTTCCCTTCGCAACCCCTTCTATTTGCCCGTTTCGCGCCCGATCGATATCGCCGACACCCGTGATTCCGAAGCCGTGTGCCTCGCCAGCTTCGGGACAGAAGGTACCAGCATCGCGCGCGCTGGTCGCAATGTCGATGGTGTTCGATGGAACACGCGCGAATCATTCGTCACAATGGTGTTACGCGCCGCCGCTCGACTTGCCTCTCCCCTGTTCCTCTACCACCCCTACAATTTCTCGTGTTTCTAGAGAGAAGTCTATCGCGTTACGCCCGCGTTCGACGTTTCCTTCCTTCCTTCCTTCCTTCCTTCCTTCCTTCCTTCCTTCCCGTCCGTTTTCCCACTCCATCTGTTTCCCCGACGAAGAGAAATCTCCCGGAACGCGATTCCCCGCCGTCGTATGCGTCGAGGCTAATCGGTAACATGGGCACTCGGGAAATCTTACGATCTGACCAATTCCCCGAGAAAAGAAGCGACAAGCCTTACCCTTTGCTCCGAACGGAGTTGACGTTTCTTTAGGATATTTTGCCCTACGTAGATTTCTCGTGAGATTTTTAATATAGACGTGTTTGTTTGTTGTGTTGTATTGTACATGGTGTTAATATAATATGTACGCTATATGTATACGCGAACAGAATCTAAAATATTAGCCGAATTTGATTTTACAAGATATTCTATACCGAAAAGTTGGCGATTATTTCGAGCAAAAAGATTATATGAGAAATATTTAATATCATATAACTACATATCATCTTTTTTTTTTTAATTTCTTTGAAAATAGTAATATTACAAGATACTATATATTATGTGTAAAGTATACTTGCGAAAAAATAAGAAGATCTGTGCGTTATATTTATTTTATACTTATTTATTTCTTTCGTTATAACTGATTACCAAAATGTAGACTTTGATCATCATGTATCACGTATAATAATGAGGAGTATAATAATAGGGACTGAAATAACTTTGTGTTGCTGCCGTTATCGAATTTTAACCGAGGTGAAGCAAATTCATTTTATAACGCGTGACCCAAAAAAGTTTTAATCATATCGCATTAATAACGTAAACTAATCGGATACCAACTAGACTGTCATTTAACCGTCTCGACTGTAGAACGGATGATGAATAATTTAATGCTTACGGTTCGTTTGCACCCTAATCAACCGAGTCGCTTGCGTTAAGCGGGCAATGTGGGAAGTTGGGGTTGTTTAGATAAACCAAGGAGATGGCATTATTTGTATAGAGTTTGCTCGTCGTAAGACAATCAGATTTGTAACTAGACCTCGCATTCTGAATAAGAGCTGAATAAGATCCGATTGTAATTTGCGGAGATGAACTGATTGTCATCTCATAATGTACGAATAACGATGTAAACAAAGTTAGCAGATACGATTCTTACACACTATAGTATAACGATTAAAAATGATGATACAGATTTTATGTACACGTTTGTTAAAAGTAATTAACATTCTTTTGTAGCTTATTATCAAAGAGTCTTTTCGATGCTTGTTTCTAATCTATCGTATTAAAAAAACAATATTTTATATTTGTTACAATTTATTAATCTTTAAAATTGACGAGTATGAAATCATATTGCAGTGATATAAATTGATACGTTAAAATAGAAAAGCAATAATTTATATCGTTTATTCTGTAATAATAATTTACATTGTATTGCTACGAAAAAACGACACACAAAATTTGAATATTTCTAATTTTGCGCGAAGCGGACATACCATATTGCAAGTAATATTTGTCCTCGTTAAGAGACAAAATCAAAGGCGATAAGGGAATAAGGAACGGAGTTAGGCCGAATAAGAAGATCGTGCTTGAATCTTAAACTAACCGGCACGACCACCGGCACGGCACATTTCGGAGACGAAGTGCTCAGGCGCGGGCATGAATATGAATGAGTCCGCGCAGGGTGATATTTCGAAGTGCGAAATAAAATAATTTCCTTCTCGTCGCGTAGCTCGCGGCTTCATGTTGCCACAGAATATGCACGAGGCACGGCGTCAATTTGGGATACGCGCTAGAGAGGCGAGAGAAGCATTAGGAATAAAATACGACGAGTCAACGAACGTAAGAGAGACGCGTGAGATCCGGGAATGAAGTTTTCGTTTCTTTATCGTTGCGGCGAACGGTGTCTTCCGTTTCTACGGTATTCCGCCTGTCGAAATTTCTGACAGCGGTCTGAAAATGAGAGAGAAACAGAGGGAAGCGGAGAGAGAAGGAGAGAGAGAGAGAGAGATACGAGGGAACGAGACGGAAGGGGTGATACTGCGAGTGGTGAATAGTTAGTAAACGTTAAGTAACCGGCGCTGTATCGACCTGCCAAGTGTGTGCGTATCGGATTTCGAGGACGATGATGGCGGTGGCGATAACCCCGAGGCACACAATTCAACGGGATATTACATTTAAACGGAACTTATTTACTCAGCCGACTACGTTATTCCTCTGGAAGACGCTACTGGCGCCTTCGTCTTTTCTTTTACCTCTACTACCTATCTTACTGCGGTACCAGACGACACTTCCTGCGGCTATTATCCAGCGCGTCGTCGTTCTCATCGCAGCGCAGTCTCGCGTTTCCCATAGTTATTCTGCCCCCGCAAATCGCTACCAGATGGGGAAAATTGAATTAGTCACGGCCACATTTATAATTATAGCCCGACCGCTCACCCTTCTCTCACCCCTCTCGGTCCGTAACGATCCTTGCTCTTACCACTTCCGTCCGACTTACCGTGCACGTACGGGTGAGACCGCCGGTAATAGCAGTAATTTTTCCTACGTTAATTTCATGCAAAACTTTCCAGCTTCGGTCGTCGTCCAGCCTCGATTGGCCCCGCGGTCGTTTTCTTCTTCTCCGAGCGCAAAGTGAATCCGCCAGCGCGAGGGATGGCAGAATCGGGGCAGAAGAATATTAGAAATATTGGCCGAGTATTTTTTGTCGCAGTCACCCCTTCCGCAATGCCTTCAGAGGCATATATATA